GTATGACGACTATAAATCAATAAGATGCTGGCTGCCTCTATCTTACTCAATTAAGGATGAGAATATTTAGGTGGGCAGTCACACTGGGATTACGATGAGATAACACAACAGTCAGGTTGAACACTGACGACTTACATCATTTATGCAGTTCTCCTCACCTGCTCAACAGTACTGTCTGCCAAGTTGAAGGCATTTCGTTCACAGTTCACAATCAACTCTAACCAGAGTTGTCTACATTCTGATATGCCAAACATCGACAAATGTCACACATCTCCAATAAATATTTAATGCCTATCACAGGATAAAAAACATGATTCCATTTTCATAATCATCAATATTTAGATAACCGAATTGAGATGAACAAAACTGTTGTCATGGCAGCATATTTCATTCAATTTTTCGATGTGTTGATATGATATTCCAGGGTTGAGTGTCTTTAAAAGTCACCGCCCTAGTCAACAACTGCTCAGATAATCAATTACACTTTCCTCTATCTTATAAAATACTACCCTAACTCACATGGTATCTGATTGGTTATCTCAGAAGTTGCTAAGGTGACCTCAACGTCACTCCGAAGGTGTCGATTTTAACAGTGAAAATTGGCACATTTTGTGAAAACAGGAAATAATTTTCATATTGTGTTACAAGATCTTTTTATCGAAATCGGTACAGGTGATTCGATGATTTGCAATCCATCAAGCTTGAAATTTCGCTTGTTTGCCATACAGAGGGGAATTGCCTAACCTCTGTTTGCATTCGCGTTGCCAAACAGATTCCTTAGTACTGTCCGATCGCTCATTATGTTGTAGTCTGATTAGTGGGTAGCAGTGAAGTCTGAGACGCGTATTTTACCCCATTTGGGAGTCACTCATCAACTCCATGTTCCTACTCGTAACCAGCATCCCATCGGTTTAAACACCATAACGTCAATCATTAGACCACTAAGGGATGACAGCCACCTCTTGTGAAACCAGATAAACTGTTTATGGACACATAAGATAGTTCAGGGATGGGGTGGATATAGTCCTAAATTTGTGAATGGCTAATTAAAACTTCAATAAACCTCAGTATATAACCATGGTAGCTCTTAGACAAAATTGTAAAACCAGTTTTAATATCGATGATGTGACCCTTATTTACCAAGGAAAGAGTATACTGTGCTAATGCAATTTGTTCTGTCCTGTTGTACAGCTGTGAGATATGGTCGTTGAAGATGGAATTGCATAGTGAGCAATGTTGGCGTTAGGCGAAGGGGATTGGACAAGGAAGGTGTATCGATCGATATGGTTGTGAACTACCATCGACTGAGATAAGTTGGGTGTGTACTGTGCTTGTAGGGTCACCAGATACCTAGATGTGTGATACTCAGAGAGGTAGAGATTGATAACTGAATCATCATTGTTCATTGGATCAACACCACAGACATCTAGTAACAGGAATCATTCAGCACCTCTCCCAGACATATGGAACATGCTGTTATCCATAATACAAAGGAGATGAGAGAGTAGTTTTTCACCTACAAATGAATTGGGGTGACTTTAAAGACCACCCTGACAACAGTGGAAATGACCAATCAGGTGGTGCTGTACTGGACTGTATCATGTAACAAACAACTGTGAGAAGCTGTGAGAAGATGGACATATACTGCTTGACCGATGAAACTACACGTGAGAAGATTTGGATTTCGCCCCGATGATGATTCACTTCTAATGTTTTGTCACACAAAATCGAAGATGTACAGACAAAAACTAACAAGTTGTTAGAAGAGGTGAGGTGAGGCAGCGAAAGAAAATGGCACTTGGTTCAGGTGAAGGTAGAGAAGACAAAGGTGATGAAGATACCATCCAAACACCACCACCACCAACAACAACAACAGGCATCAACCATTTCTATCGATTTATTAGGTTTACCACACAGTAACAGTATTGTTTACTGGATTATCTTTCGGACATCATTTATGTTGTCCATAGTCATCATATCAAGTTAACTACACAACTTTGAGTTATCCTTTATATAGTCCTAATTTTCTCGTCTCTTTGTGAGATGGGCAGTGAAATTCTCCATATATCCGGAACAGGTGCTGATTCATTCCTGTTGCTGCATGTCTTAGGTGTTGATTCGATAAGCGAAGATTCAGTTATCAATATCTCTCTCTCTCTCTCTCTCTCCATCCTGTTATGTTAGTCTGAAGAATTTTCACCCTGTACCATCCATTCTGTTGTGTGGCTGTGTGTAATCGCATGAATAGCTAGCTATGGCTGAGCTTTTTTCTAAATTCCTTACGCCACTAAGATCTTCCAAGTTTGATCTAACTCAGTTTTTGTGTTCCCATAGCCTAAATGATCCTGGTCGACTACTTTGACCTCACAATCGTTGCAAGCCATTTGGTAAACTAAGTTATTCTGCTTAATTGGATCAATAGGATCTTTTCTAACCTACAAAGCTTATTTCCAAGTGAGTTCGTAGGTTTAAATACCACTCTAATTCCAGCACCAACCATCATGAAGGGGAGAAATCTGAAGGAAGATTTCTCTTTCGCCTACCTATCAAGGCAGCATTGTTTCAACTACAGGCAGCGTCACAGGCACAGATGAGCATGTGAAAGCCAGGATCGGAGAATCAAGGAGAAGCAGGCGTTCATTAACCTGAAATCAGTGTGGAGATCTACTGCACTGCACTGCACTGCCTTGCACTCAGCATAAACAACATCTGGATTTTCAGCACTGATGTCAGTCAAGTTAGTGCTTGCTTGTATGTAATGATTGAGAGAGTTGGTGGGTTATGAAAAGCTTTTCAAACAAACTGCAGACATACATCATCAACAGGTGCCACCTACTTTCACTCGATACTGAAGATCAGATCAGATGGGAAGAAAAAATCAGCAAGTAGGAAGTCTGGTAGGCTGGTAACGAACCAACCAAGAACCTGTCACTCAGCAAATATGCAGAAGAAGAAAGTGGAGATGGATCGGATCGTCTACAGCTGAGGAACGCCACCCCCTACCCCTCCTCTTCCAAGGAAAAACACTGAGGTGCTTCACTAATAGAAGCAATGAAACGCAGACCAAATAGAGTAAATCACCTTCTATTTCAACTCATCATCACAGTTTCAATTACAATATCATTATTTAAAACAGTTAGTCCCCTTTATGAATTTCGATAGCGTAATTAGAAGACGAATTTTATCTGAGCAATGTGATGTATCTGCGCAATACATTTCCTTATTCACTAATATGCCATTGTCCTAGACTATAAGCATCCTCTGTGACTATATATCCTCTAAAAACCTCCCATTTCCTATTACTCCAACCTTTCTGAAGGAGTTATTATTTCTGTGTACTGACAAAGTCCACTTCACATTTGAAGGTGAACGCTTTAGACAAGTTGACGGTGTAGCTATTGGTAGCCCATTAGGACCACTACTAGCTGATATTTATATGTCATATACCAAAAATCTGGCTGGTGATCTCATCGGTAAAGTTCCTCTTTTACAAGAGATATGTTGATGACATCAGAGTGATTTGTGGGGAGGGAGGGGGTATGATGATATGGCTTGTCTACTAAATAGACTTCATGCCATACAAACATACACCAGCCTGACTTGTGAGAAACAGAATAGTAATTAACTACCATTCCTAGATATACTCCTGAATAGACGAGAAGATGCTTCAATAAGACGGTCAGTTTACAGAAAACCTACATGGACAGGATAATACCTGAATTTTCACAGTTTTTGTCCAATCCAATACAAGCGAGGTCTAATAAAATGCCTGTTTAATAGGATCTATCGTATCAGTACACCGTATGCGATGGATGAAGACATTAAATTACTGAGCAAAGCACTTATGGAAAATGGATATCCGACGTACTTTATAAACCGTTGTAGAGGTCAAGTAGCACCAAAGCCAACTCTATACACGGTCCTTAAGAAAAGTCTCCATATCACTCTACCATACAGAGGGGAGCTAAATAGTATCATTTTGAGACGTAGGCTGACATCAACCATTAAGAACACGTATTCCGAGCGAATCTTACCATTGTGGAGGAAACAAAACACATGCTTCACCAAAAACCTAAACATGGCACCAGTGATTACGTCACATCCCATTGTGTTTACCAATTTACATGTGTGTGTGGTGACACATACATAGGGAGGAGTAATCGAGTCATGTAGTTGAGGGTAGGAGAACATGTGCCTATATGGCTTCAAAAACAAATGTAGTGTGAAACAATGATAAACGCTGGTGGGAGACGACCCTCTTCATCTATAGTTAAACATATCATAGAAACAGGTCACAAAGTTAGTGTTCAAACAGTTTTCAAAGTTTTATGTATAGAAACAGTCAGTCAGGGATGTATTCTGAGATTTGCGGAAGCCGTAGCCATACACAAATTGAAATCACCTTTATGCGTATACAAAAACAGTTTTTTCTTACACACTACACCTACCTTGGTAAACTTTATTTTCTTACCAAGATTAGGATCAACTATGTCACCCTTCCTGTTTGTTCTCATCTTTCTTAATTTTAATCCGCTGCTTGTGTTAATTGTTGTATTTGTCCCCCCCCCCCCCAGTTAGTAGAATGCCAAGAGAATAACCTGGAGATTGTTGATTTCAATATTGCCATGGTACAAATTTTCATTTCACCTTCAATCATATAACCCAGTAGTTGTGAAATTGGTTACACTCCCGTGGCTAGTCAATACATATAAGCCAGTCCTATAGGAGGTCAATCGCTGCCCAAATAGTTCAGTGGTAAAGTAGCTAACTAGAACATTGGGTAACGCGGATTTGAACCTTAGGCGGGATATCAATTCCGTTGAAGTTGTAGATACGCCTTACTGACGATTGACAAAAGCATGAAACTAACTAATTGATGTGAAATATCTACGAAATATTTGAATGAATAGCAACCCCACCCTAATCATTTTCTTCTTTGTTGTTTACAAACAAAATATGTTGTGACCAAGCGAAAAGCAAAGGCGTAACGCTGCATAAATCAACTAGAAAGTCATATTATTTTCACCATTACAAAAGTGTAGTGGAATAACCACAGGCATATACATACCTGTGCATATATATATATGTATAAATCACAGTTGTAGAGTTTTGTATGCTTGTTTTAACTAAATTAAAAATCCCTCGCGTCAGTCGGTTACCATAGCAACCGCAGGTGTTATTCAATGTTTAAGGCTCATCGTTATATTTTTTTTATTTTACACATATCATCATGATTTAGTAATGATGAATAATCACTGTTGCCTAATTCTGGAGAATGTGGACCTGGTTCACAATGAACAGAATTCGGTAATTCATCATGTACAATACATTGATAATCATTAATTGAAATAGGATCATGAAATTGATCAATAATTGGAGATGGGATCATTTTTATTGATTGATGAATATCATGATTGATTTGATTGAAAGTTGAAAATTCATTTGGTGATTGAATAACACATTGTGATAATGGTAAACATGTTGGAATATCCTAAAGAGGAAAATTGAGTAAATATGAGTTTAGTGGAAGTAAACCAAGTGAAGTGTGTGTGTGTGTGAAGTAGGCAGAAATAATCACTAACCACTTAAAAAAGTTTTTTAAAAAGGTGATATTAGTTAGGATTTGGAAGTGAACATCAATTTGGTTAAAGGAACCACAGGTGTCACGTGTTCAACTAACCACTCTTAACCCATTTTCAACTTCATCGATCATTGAATGTCGAGATCGATGAGATGAGGTATCGATATGTGCAGTCGATGAGGGTTCATCACCTCATCAACTGATATGCCTGAACTTATATGATTTTGAAATGATGAATGGTTTTGGTTGTATTGTGTTCTCTGAGGTTATGAGTTGTTTAGTCAGGGAGAAGTTTTCATCATCCTTCTGCACAACAACATCATCCACACCACTAACTTCAGTATGAAGTGAGCTAGCTGTCAGTTTCTCTCTATAACTGATTCATGAAACTTCCCCTGACCAACTGGTTTGTGTGCCATTGGTTATCTCCTTTCACTGTTGTGTCATTGAATGACTGTAGAGATTTTCCTGTTGACTGTTCCTCTGCTACAACCCTGTTCACCTTTCTATCCTTTATCATTTCAGTCATTGTTTGATAGATTGCGTCGACGTCTATACATCTGACTGACTGATTGACCTTAATGACAAGCTTGTAGGAATTCTCTGATGATATTCTGTGTGTTTTCTCTGTCCTTTGAAGATTTCTACATTGTCAAAGTTGAATTCATATGCATACTTGTTATCCACGTGGATTGAGCGATGAGTGATGAAAGTTTGTGATGTTTACTATCCAATTAGTTTTCTCATGTGAAGGAAGGGGAAGACGGCGACCACTTTGTCCAATGAATGAAGTATTGACCACAGTCATTCCAGTTGGTTTTATAAATTATATTCGGTTTGTCTTCTTTTGTTATTGCTTCCGCTTTGCTCTGCATAATAGGGTTTTGAAAGTATTTGTTGGTTTATGAGGCACCACACATCAATTCCAAATGGTCTAAGTAATCTTGTCGTAATCTCTGATATATCCTTTATGTATAGCAGGAAGATGCGTTCAATTCGTTATGTAGACAATACTTCTATCATCATCAAGAACGAGATGATATAGAGAACACACAGTTTCATCAACAACTTTTGTGCTTATGACATCAAATTCATAATGGAGAAGGAGTCGAACACAACCAACTACCGTTCCTCCATATGCTTGTCGATAGGACAAATCCCGGAAAGCTTGAAACTCAAGTGTACAGGAAGCCAATACACACTGACTGATCAAATCCTCAACTATAGTAGCAACAACCCACAGAATTAGTTGTGTATAGACTCTATTCAAAAAGCGGGAACACACTGCGCAGTACGACAAATTCAGTTCGTGTCTATTCTAAAGAAGAATAGCTAACCACGAAACTTTATGAGAAGGTGCTTATCCCGTACAGCATCATCTACAAAGCCATCGACAGAAATCTACAAACACATCACCCTACTGTACATAAAGAACAGATCAGAAATCATGACAAGATTACTGAGACCATTTGGAATTGACGTGGGGCGTCTCATCAACCAACAAATTCCCTCTTAACATTATTATACAGAGCAAGGGGGATGAAACAACTAAAGAAGACAAACGGAATATCATCTACAAAATCAACTGGAACAACTGTAGTCAACACTACATTGGACAAAGTAGTCGCCCCACCTTCTCCTTCGTCTACCATGAGCACCAATTGGCTCATCCCTGGATCCACGTGGATAAAAACTATGTACATGAATTCAACTTTGACAATGTTGAAATCTTCAAAGGACAGAGAAAACACACAGAATATCATCAGAGAATTCCTACAAGCTTGTCATTGAGGTCAATCAGTCAGTCAGATGTATAGACGTGGAAGCAATCTATCAAACAATGACAGAAATGATAAAGGATAGAAAGGTGAACAGGATTGAAGCAGAGGAACAGTCAACAGGAAAATCTCTACAGTCATTCAATGACACAACAGTGAAAGGAGATAACCAATGGCACACAAACCAGTTGGTCAGGGGAAGTTTCATGAATCAGTTATAGAGAGAAACTGACAGCTAGCTCACTTCATACTGAAGTTAGTGGTGTGGATGATGTTGTTGTGCAGAAGGATGATGAAAACTTCTCCCTGACTAAACAACTCATAACCTCAGAGAACACAATACAACCAAGTCACCTAACCTCAGCATTGTTTACACAGTGATTTCACTAAACATGACCAATTCTATGAAGACAAATGTTCATATTCTTTTACTCTCAACCTTCATGTCTCATTGTTGTATAGCAGAAAAGATTGAACTACATTAAAGTACACAAGTCTTTCTGTAAGTTATCATATAACTTATCATTCAGCATAGAAGATAATGCAACTTGGTAAATACCAAAGTAGACTTCTATATCTTGACTGAAATTTCGTAAACAATCAACTCGTCCACAGTACGCATACAACTGACCATCACTTCATTTGCTATCATTAAACTGTGACCAATTGTAGACCACACCTGAAACATCATCTTACAATCGACAGATCTACGGCAATCCACATCATATATATATATATATATATATATATATATATATATATATATATATATTCAGATGGAACCTCTATTCAAAGCTTCCAGGTTTCTATTATTCCTCCAAACGGCCAGTTAATCAGTGATGATAAATACCCACCTGAAATAATCGTATTTCGGTTGAACATGTTCTAAACACCTAACATTCTGTCATCTTTAATATATCTTGAAATTCTACAGCATATAGTAGATGTTCAAGCAAAGAATATGTTCCGTCTGGTTCATAATTAAGCCTTTGAAATAATTCTCATTTCTACAAGTTTAAGAACACAGCGAAAGTGTCGGTGACCTACAAGTCTAGTCATCCATGAGCTACCGAAAGTCTACTGTTTGCATGAAGGTGGATCATATATATCGTCATCCTCATCACCATCAACGTCATCAAACAAGTCAACACAGAACTAGGGATTAGTGCATAACGGTCCAACTTACCACACATCATATCACCATTTCAAGTAAACAAGACAGTAGAATCGAAAATGAACAAGGAGAGAAATTTCACAAAGAAGAAATATAAAGTACACAAAGAGAGAAAGGAAGAATGAGAAAATGATGAGTTTCGATATAACCTCGTCATGATGAGGATCATATGTGTGGGGATACATCTGCACCACTGACATCCCCTCTCACACATTTCAGTACCTACACTCTCCAACCACACTTGATTTCTCTTCTCACACTCACCACAAACGGCAAGTCTGCATCACCGTATATCACTCAAATCAACAGTCGCTGACTTCATACACTCATGTCATGTCTCAATCTGACCACCACCTTCTGCCTTCATTCACTCTGAACATACTTCAGCCAACATTGTCTCACAACGCACACGGTCGACTACACACAACCAACACATGCACCAGTCAACCATCTCACTCGATGAGAGTCAACAACCTCGTCAAATATCTTACAACTTATCCCTCTCTTAAACTCCACACATCACTTCTGCATTACTCATCGCATGACACCACCAAACACAGTCTGTACTACAAAGATAACACTGGTCAAACACCTCAAGTCTTCTCATGTATTCCACCTCCAACGGACATCTTCCACAGACATTGACTACAACAGACTGGACTGCTGTGCAGTACACACAGCCACTAATAGGATAATCCGATATCAAGGTGGTGTCACAGGTGGTGTATACTCACAAAAGCAACCCCTGCCTTTTGTATTCATACAGAGATTTCGTCAACCACTGAGCCAACACGCCTAATCCTACCTCTCAGATAAGTCAAGTGATCGACACACTCAACCACTACACTCACTCTCCATTGTTAGCCGACTCACCGTTGATCACTAATCGTCGAGCAACAATTTGCATTTCCCAAACATGGTGTCATAGTGTCCAGAACACTCCACATCTTATCAGTGTCTTCATTTGAGACGAGTGTGTCATCTGTGTATTCTACGTCTAACGAAAATTCTCCTGTGATTAGGTCAACCTGTATGTATTTAGGTGACGAGAGGGAGACCTGCATAAGAAAATCTGTGATGAAATTGAATGAGAATGGAGAGATTCGGCATTGTTGACGAACACCACTCGATGAGCATAGCTCTCTGGATATCTCACGATAGGCTGTAGCAGGCCCATAATTGTTAGCGTAGAGAAGCTCCAATAATGTGATGTAGTTAGTTGGCACGCCTTTCGGTGAGAGCCAATACCATAAGACTTCTCGATCAACGTACGACCAATGAATACATAGATACTATTTCTTAAAGGTTTTTCTCTTTAGAGAATCAAAAAAAATTATATTTTCTCTCAGTATTTTTTTTTTGAATCATGCGATTTGTTTTCTCTACATTTCATTCCTTATTTCACTTTTTTTCCCATCGTTTCTTCTTATTGTGAACGAAAATATAAATAATCATGATTAAAATAGCGTAACAACAAGAATGTCAAAGGAAAACCAGTAAATATCTACATTTGCTTTACAGTACTTAAGCTTTGGATTATTTTTTTCTCCCTGCTATTTCCTTTTTTATTTAGTTACCATTTTCTAAGCATATTCTTCATCTATTCACGTGTTCTATACTAATTAAGAGACTAATTCTTAGGCATATGATTATTATTATTATTATTATGATTATTACCACTGCTACTATTACACTTAGTAGTATGTTATATTGTGATCCAATTTCTACTAGTAGGATTATTCCATCCATCCTTTTAGATAGATAATCCATCCATCTGTCGCTTTGTTTACACATATAAATATGTGATTATTTGTTCTGATCAGAATGTAAGATATTCCCTAGTGAATTGTTCATATGATTAGTTTGATGATGGGAGTAAAAAAGGTTGGGGGGCGGGGGGCGGATGGAAGGGGTTTTGGGAAATTGACTCAAATCGCTTGAAGCTGATTTATACATTT